ACGATGGAAATTTAGAAAAATACTGCCTTAATCTTGAGTGTTTCTTGAAGCATATTAATTAATCTGATACTGATGGTTTAGATTTATTTTCTAAATTAAAAGTGTTAAGAAAAATAGTACAATTAGAATATAACAGTTTAATTAATATACTCAATCAAATAAAAAGATTTGATTCTTTTCCAAATGTCTATATTGCTTATATAATAATGTTAATAACTCCTGTTACCATTACTCCAGCAAAAAAAAAGTTTTTCGAAATTAAAATTGATAAAATCTTAACTAAGCTCAATAATGTATGAAGAGAGATTAAATGGATAAACTATATTGCCAATTGAGAAAGAATTATTAGAAAAAAATTTATTATAAAAAAATTTATTAATAACTTTGCATCTAGAAAAAACTAGAAAAATGAACTTCAAATTAAAAAAAATTAATAATTTAAAAAAATTAAGGCTCCTCGTAAAATTCGGCTTTAGGCCACAAATTCGTTGGAGTGCCCTGCTTTTCCACTTTAAGTGATTACTTTTTTTCGCTTCAACTCAAATTTCATCCAAGTGCGTACTAATCCCAAGGTAAAAAATGCACGGCGCACGGGGCGCCCTATTTGGTCGCCCTTATTTAACCTATACCAATTTTTTTAAAATTTTTAACTTGTACCAACTTTTTAAACAACTTCAGCCCCCTTTCTCCTCTTTCTTCTCCTCCTCGAAGTTTTTTCTTTTCTTTTTCTAGAAACAAGGTTCATCCCTATCTGCTTCTTCTTATTTCTCCTTTCAATCATTTTTTCCTTTTCGCCGATACCCTCAACTGTAAAGGTTCTATCTTGGTTTTGCAACTTGAATCTTATGCACAATTTTGATGTGAAAATGGGACAAGAGAAATTAATTATCAATTTTATATTGTTGTTTGGTGAATTGGGTCTGGCGAAAATTGGAGACTTTAGTTGTCGATTGGATTTGTAATGTGTTGATGTTTCTTGATTCCTGTTAATGTTGCTTTAAGTTACTTCGTGTGGGTACAACATGCCCCCTAAAGCTCTAGAACTGAAGTTCGCCAGTTACAAACAAAAACTTCAGTTCTAGAGCTGAAGTTCGCCAATTACAAAACAAAAACTTCAGCTCTAGAGCTGAAGTTCGTCAGTTACAAAAACAACAACTTCAGCTCTAGAGCTGAAGTTCGTCAGTTACAAAAACAACAACTTCAGCTCTAGAGTTGAAGTTCGTCAGTTACAAAAACAACAACTTCAGCTCTAGAGCTGAAATTTGCCAGTTACAAAAACAAAAATTTTAGCAGTTACAAACAAAAACTTCAGTTCTAGAGCTGAAGTTCGTCAGTTACAAAAACAACAACTTCAGCTCTAGAGCTGAAATTTGCCAGTTACAAAAACAAAAATTTTAGCAGTTACAAACAAAAACTTAAGCAAATAGAGAACAAAACTTCAACTACTATGCTTAAGTTCAACAATTACAAATAAAAACTTTAGCACACTTGGTTCAGCACACTTGCTACTTTAGTCCCGTCTACTAGAATGTTGAAGTTTTGCGTGATTGTCTTTGCTACTTCAGCCCCATATGCTGAAGTTACGTGAAAAAACGAGTACGCTTGCAATTTTTTTTGCAAAGCGGACACAAGTTAAAACATGACCCAAAAAGCCGGTATAGATGCAAATGGTCCAATCCCAAGCGGGAAAAGTGCACGAATAGCTGCTTTTAGGACTTCTCTTTAAAACATAGCCAAACTTTATAAGGTATTTAAAATTTACCGTTTCAAAATCAAACTTTAAGCCTCGAGTCTAAAGTTTCAAATTTCAGACTGAAGTTTTAAACTTCAGACTCGATTGGCAAAATTAAACTTTAGATCTTAGGTCTAAAGGATGCAGTTCAGATTTTATAGCTTCGAATGAAAGTTAGACTCTAGCAGTTCAAAACTCAGATTCGAATGTCAAAATTTGATTTTGGCAGTTCAGACTTTGAGTATGAACCTAGGCTCTGGAAGCTCAAATTTTCGATCCAAATGTATGAAGAGGAAAGAGGAAGAGGAGGATACATCTGAAGTTGGCCAAATTGGTCTAAACTTTTAGATAGTTCTAAAAAAAGGATTTTTACATGTATGTATTACATTAGAAACTTATTTACCTTCACTGTTTAGGTTTTAACTTAATTATAAGTTGATATATAATTTACGTATATACAAATTAGTATTAATGAGTATCCCATTATATTAGGAATTTGATAGGGAATTCCCTCTTCGCTCTCTCTTCGATCTCTCTCTCCGTCTCTTTCTTTCTCTCATTCTCTATCATTATTCTTATATTAATATCTTCATGTGGATTAACCGAAGAAATGATACTAATGTTAAGTGAAAAAAGATAGAAGATTAGTACCTAGCAAGTTCTTGCTTCAGATCCAATGAAAACGAGGAAGTAAATAAGAAAGAAATTAGCTATAATGAAGAGAATTATTTTAGTTATCATTCTTTTAGCTTTTTGGAATCGATAAACAAAATAGTATTAATTAGAAGCAAGTAGATTGAATTGGAAGCTGTGTTAATCCATTAAAATCTGTATTGACAACCATTAAAAAGTTTCAAAGCTTTGAATTCGAAAATAGAATTTTATGAATTTTTTTGTTTGAATTGAGTGTTGTTGTAAATGATTGGGAATATCCGTTGGAGTTTATATCTCAAATTTGAGATAATTTGGTGAAGATTCGAGGTGGGTTTGGCTGAAATTTCATATTGAAACTCGAAAAAGAAGACGTAAACAAATTGTATATATTTTTTATGTCGAATGTCGAAATGGTATACAAAATATCTACAGCTTACACAATTGTATATAAGTTGTATATAAATTATATCTAAATTATAGTTTTTGATCGGAATATGTACAAAAAAGAGTATATTTACGTTGTAGATAGATTGTATATATTGACCGAATTTGTATATATTTTGCAAAAAACTTTTATTACTTCCTGTAAATATAAAAACTTAGGCAAAATCGTGTAAATAAGTTTAAAATCTTATCTATATGACTATATATGTAAAAGTCCTTTTAAAAAGTTTGAATGGGTTTTAAATGGTGTCCTTAAAATCGGCTACCTAGTGCCATTTCCACATCCCAAGCGGAAAAGGAAAGTCCAGTCCAACCTATTATTTGGTCCTTTTCCTGTTAGGGAAGTGCACAATTATCCACTAATAAGACATGTATTTACGTTTAATCCACTGTTTAAAATACATAGTCTTTAGCTACTGCTTTAATAAACTTTACCTATCCGGAAAAATACTCTTATGCTCGTAAAATTCAGGATCAAGTGTCCTTAATTTATGAGCTTGTTACTGTAAGTTTAGGACTACTTGTCCTTAACTTTTGAACTTGTAACTCTAAATTCAGGACTACATGTCCTTAACTTTTGAACTTGGAATTCAAAGTTCAGGACTACCTATATTTAATTTCTGTGCTTATAACTCTAAGTTAAGGACTATTTGTCCTTAATTTTTGTGCTTGTAACTCTAAGTTAAAGACCAAGTGTCCTTAATTTTTGAATTTCCAACTCTAAGTTTAGGACCAAGTGTTCTTAACTGATGAGCTTGTTATTGTAAGTTCAGGACTATCTGTCCTTAATTTATGAGCTTGTAAGTCTAAGTTAAGGACTACCTGTCCTTAATTTTTGAATTTCCAACTCTAAGTTTAGGACCAAGTGTTCTTAACTGATGAGCTTGTTATTGTAAGTTCAGGACTATCTGTCCTTAATTTATGAGCTTGTAAGTCTAAGTTAAGGACTACCTGTCCTTAGTTTTTGAGCTTGTAACTCTAAATTCAGGACTACCTGTCCTTAATTTTTGTGTTTGTAACTCTAAGTTAAGGACTACATATCCTTAATTTCTGTGTTTGTAACTCTAAGTTAAGTACCAAATCCTTTCAACAACACATGCATCAACAAGAATTAGAACTCCACCTACAGAGAGTGGGTGAATTCTCGTTCAAGTACTCCCTCCTTTCCTCAACAGGCAACTCAAAAAATATGTCCAGCTTCTAACATTCTCAAGAACTTCAATAGGAATACCATGATTAATGATGTGACCGTTTCTCTGTTGCTATCACATATTGATTCTGCAACTTTTGGGTCATCACATTTTAAGAGATCAATAATGAGTATCAAACTTGAGAGAGAGAAGCGAGGGTTTGAGAAGAAAAACAATGAAAGAAAGGGTAAGAATGTCTTTTCATATTAACTTTAATGGAGTAGTGGCTATTTTTGCTCAATATTAGAATTGCTGGATAAAAAATAAATACCACCTTAAATAATGGCTATCCCATGCCATTTCCACTCCTATCCGTATGGTAAAAATAACACGGTATAGCCAGTTTTCGGACTGATCATTCAAAAATAGCCAGCGTTTACGAAGTCAATGAAAAATAACCACTATTTTGCTGCAACAGAGACCGGTCCAGCATAATATGCTGGAGTTCGGTGCACCTGTGTATGAACTCAAGCATATTATGCTGGACCAGTATACTTTGCTGACTCCAATATAATATACTGGAGACTGGAGCACCAGTGCTCCAAACTCCAGTATATTATACTAGACAATTATACTTGTTGGACTCCAGTATATTATGCTGGAGTTCCAGTGTACTTATGCTGGAGCTCTGTCATATTATGCTGGAGTTCCAGCATACTTATCCTGGAACTCCAGCATAATATGCTGGAGTTCAAGCATACTTATGCTGGAACTCCAAGTATAATATGCTGGCGTATTTTTCGGATTTTGAACAGTGTTTTCGTTCAGATTTATCTTTACATAAAAAGTGGCTAAATTTCGATTACTTTTGAAACTGAACTATTTTTGAACGATCAATTATAAATCTGACTATTTTTGAATTTCTCCCATCCGTACGGCTTCAAGTTAGGCCCGATTGATAGAATATAGGCCCATAACACGATAGGTCCATATGTACCTAGCTCACGAATCTAGAAGAGAATCTTCTCTAGCTCCCCGCCATTCTCTTTCCCGCCAACCCACATCCCTCCATTTTCCCATTACTCTATAAAATCCTTTGCTTTTCATTTCTACTGCAGAAAAGTTAAAAGAAAAAAAAAAATGAATGAAAATTTGGAGGAACAGAGCAAGCTTCCTGAGCTTAAACTTGGTAAAACCCTAATTCTTTGAATGTTTTATTACATTCTCAGAAGTTTATTCTTACAAGCTTTTTTCTAGTTCTAATTTTTTTTATTTTATAGTTTTTCTCTTTATATTGTTTACTGTGTTTAATAAATGGATATTGATGGTTCATATTAGCGGTTCAACTGATTTGGGGATTTAACTGTAGTTTGATTGATTGATATTTGTTATTGTGAATGGTTTTGTTTTAGATGCTAAGCAAGCTCAAGGATTTCTCTCATTTTTCAAAACCCTACCCAAGGTAACTTTTTCATATTATTCATTCTGTTTAAATAGTTATTGCACCTTCACTTGTAGAGAAAATTGCTAGGCGGTTCACTTAATAGAGAACTTTTGATTTTTTTGCAGGACCCTAGGGCAGTTCGCCTCTTTGATCGTCGGGTGAGCCTTCTCTTAATCTCTTTGCTAGTCCTCTTTTTCCCCCCTTCAAAAATGGTGGAGTCCGAGCCAACTTGCACATCTTTCCACTAGTACAGGAACAGATAACTTTGTTCCCCAAGATTTGGGCAAATGGAAGCTTTTTGCCTCTATTGTGATTCTGACCTTGGTCTCTCACGGTCTTTATTCCAAATTTATTAGCTGCTAGGCGATAATCTTGGGTGGTGTGCTTGGCCTTATTATTTGTCTTTGCAGCTACATATAGTGATAGCTATTTTTTTTTTCTTAGTTCCATTTGAGATTCTTGAATGGATGCCCTTATTCTTGTATGCTTGTCATACTACTGCCTTTTGTTTAAGCTTGTAGTTCCATCTGAATTAGGCAGGTTCCAGTTTTTTTTTTCCCCTGAAGTTATTAATTGAGCTATTCAAGTTATTCACCTTTAAGGTGGTGCAGCAAACTTTCTTTCTTTCCTGGCACCTATATTAATNCTGCTCTTGCTCCAAACTTCGGTCAGAATGGATGTGAAGTTGGCTTAGGCTATGTTGATATTACAAAGAGAGTCCTTGGTTTAACAGAATTTCTAGATGATAGCCACTTCACAAATTTGGAGTCTGCTTTGGTTGCTCTTGGTTGCAGAGAATGTCTTGTACCAGCGGAGACTGGCAAATCCAGTGAATACAGGCCTATGTTTGATGCAATATCTAGATGCGGCGTGATGGTAACTGAAAGAAAGAAAACCGAATTTAAAGGGAGAGATTTGGTACAGGATCTTGGTAGGCTCGTCAAGGGTTCAGTAGAACCTGTTCGAGATTTGGTCTCTGGTTTTGAATGTGCATCAGGAGCTTTGGGCTGCATACTTTCTTATGCAGAACTACTTGCGGATGAGAGCAATTATGGAAACTATACAGTCAAACAATACAGCCTCAGTAGTTACATGAGATTAGATTCTGCTGCTATGAGAGCACTGAATGTTATGGAGAGCAAATCAGATGCTAATAAAAATTTTAGTTTGTTCGGTCTGATGAATAGAACATGTACTGCTGGAATGGGTAAAAGGTTATTGCACATGTGGCTCAAACAGCCTTTACTAGATGTAGAAGAGATTAACTGTAGGCTGGATTTAGTTCAATCATTCGTGGAGGATGCTGCGCTTCGCCAAGACTTGAGGCAGCATCTAAAAAGAATTTCAGATATCGAGCGGCTGACACACAATCTTGAGAGGAAAAGAGCCAGTTTAGTGCACGTTGTAAAACTCTATCAGGTACGTTCTCTTTTCTCGTTTGTGCCTTCTCCCCCTCTTGTTAGCCTCGACTCCATAGATTTCAATCAGCTATACATTGAAGTACAAATGACTTTAATCCCCTCTTTTCTTAGCAAAATCATGCAGGGGTCCTGGCTTAACTTCTTTTTTTTTTCCTTCATGTGTAGTCAAGCATCAGAGTACCATATATCAAAAGTGTTTTGGAACGGCATGATGGGCAATTTGCAACACTCATTAGGGAAAGATATATTGATTCTCTGGAGAAATGGAGTGATGATAATCACCTGAATAAGTTCATAGGTCTTGTGGAAACTTCTGTTGACCTTGATCAACTTGAGAATGGAGAATACATGATTTCTTCTGCATATGACCCAAATTTATCTGCTCTGAAGGATGAGCAAGAGACATTGGAGCGACAAATTCATAATTTGCACAAACAAACTGCCAATGATCTTGATCTACCTGTTGATAAGTCGCTTAAACTAGATAAAGAAACACAATTTGGACACGTCTTCAGAATTACCAAGAAAGAAGAACCAAAAGTTAGGAAGCAGCTAAATTCTCATTACATTGTTCTCGAAACACGTAAGGATGGGGTAAAGTTCACCAATACAAAACTCAAAAAACTAGGAGATCAGTTCCACAAGATTGTAGAGGAGTACAAGAGCTGTCAGAAAGAATTGGTAGCTCGTGTAGTTCAAACAGCTGCGAGTTTCTCCGAGGTATGTCTACTATTTGTATATTTTGGGTGAACCTCCTCTTCTTTCCCACCCCATTTATTGGATTTACCGAGTAGTGGCTTTCCAGGTGTTTGAAGGTATAGCTGGTGTACTTTCTGAGTTGGATGTGCTACTGAGTTTTGCGGATTTGGCTGCCAGTTGCCCAACTCCTTACACAAGACCAAATATCAGTCCACCAGTAGGGACATTCTTTCTCTTCCCATTTAAGATGACACTGATACCATGCNTGTATATTTTGGGTGAATCTCCTCTTCTTTCCCACCCCATTTATTGGATTTACAGAGTAGTAGCTTTCCAGGTGTTTGCAGGTATAGCTGGTGTACTTGCTGAGTTGGATGTGTTACTGAGTTTTGCGGATTTGGCTGCCAGTTGCCCAACTCCCTACACAAGACCAAATATCAGTCCACCAGTAGGGACATTCTTTCTCTTCCCGTTTAAGATGACACTGATACCATGCTAAAGAAAATTATACACAGCTAATATGGTGATGTTTCCATATAGGATACAGGAGATATTATACTTGAAGGGTGTAGGCATCCTTGTGTGGAAGCTCAAGATTGGGTTAACTTCATTCCTAATGACTGTAGACTAGTATGTGTTCTATAGCATTGAAGTGTTCTTGTCTCTGATATTTTGTCTGGAGGGGCTTATAACCTACCTCTTTCATCTTCCCAGGTTAGGGGAGAGAGTTGGTTTCAGATTATCACAGGCCCTAACATGGGTGGAAAGTCTACCTACATTCGGCAGGTGCGGGTTCAGTATTTTGCTGAAAGTTCTTTTTGCCTTCTTTATCATCTGTCTAGGTCTGTAAGGGACAAGTTGTTAATGAAATAAATGTAATTAAATTATTGCTTTTCGGCAGTTCCTGCTTGTGAGGATGTTTCTGTATATTCACAGAATTCATAATCAGTTGCTTGAAGATCTAATTTTATTTGCATTCCAGTATTTTTCTCTATTCATTCATTATTCTTATACATAAACTGACTTTTTCTCAAAAAGAATCTCAATCATTTGGCTAATTTGCACTAACAGGTTGGTGTGAATGTCCTGATGGCCCAAGTTGGCTCGTTTGTTCCATGTGACAATGCTACCATTTCTATTCGTGATTGTATTTTTGCTCGTGTTGGCGCTGGAGATTGCCAGGTGAGACAACATATCCTTGTTGAATATCTAGAAATAAAAGTATCAACTTGCTCATTAAGGCGCATGTTGAAGAAGTTTGTCGTAACAGAACATGCTAGCCCTTCATAATTTTTTGAGTTCATCCAACTAGTTTGGCATTGAGGCTTAGTTGATTGATTGTTGATTAATCCAGCATAATAAATAACCAACTATATGCTGATGTCGTAAAAGCCCATCCGCTTTCTTTCAGTACATATTAAAGAAAAGAGTACTGAAGCTGCTAAATAAGTGTCTCATTTGCCAATACATAGTTGATCCACATGTCAGATCAGCTTGAATACATTTCATATAATTGAGCTTCTTATTATGTGCTTGATGTTTTCCACTTCCGTTTTGGTACTTATGGTTTTAAGTGGAAAGGCTGTGCTTAATTACGAAACTGATGTTGTGCATAAATTGTTGAATTGCATTCAGTGTTAGTCAGTAGCTAAACTAAATTATGCTTTTCCTACTGAGTGAATGATCTTCTATCTCTAAAAGGAAAGGAAAACCTTGTATAAAGATATGGCTTGCCTGCTGTAGGGATTTGATTCCACATTCTCATAAATGTGCTCCTGGCTGTTCTGTGTACTCCAAAAGGAAGCGAAGAACTTCAATTTATGCTGCTCCTTTAAAGTATTGACATCCTCTGCCTTCCAAATAGCCCATAGGTCCCATACTATGCATGCAGGAGAACTATCAATGTTTTGTTATGCCCACACCTAAGCCTTCCTGATCTACATGCTGCTAAGCACCTTTCCCAGTCCCTGTTGCATAGCTCACTCATGCTAAACACATCATGATTCAACATCAGTGCATCAGGTACAGGGTCGGTCCTCCTTGCCTACCAATTGAACAACAAAGCATCGGATTCCACCACATTGTCCTACTATCTGATGCAGTAGTAGAATGACAAATGTAATCCCCTGCCTCTTTATACGCAAAGGATTCAGAACTTAATATTTATATTGGAACAGCTGGTAATTTCATGATCTGTCATTTGCCTAAAATAAAATTGTTTTCTTTTGTATGTTTGTTTATTTATTACTTGTCACTATTTTGTCGGGTCATTTCTTTATTAATTAAAGGAACTAACAAGCTTTTATTTCTCCTTCCTCTTCCTTGAATCAGCTGAGAGGAGTTTCTACTTTTATGCAAGAGATGCTTGAGACTGCGTCGATCTTGAAAGGAGCTACTGATAGATCATTGATTATAATTGATGAGTTGGGCCGTGGTACATCAACCTATGATGGCTTTGGTGAGTTTCTGATCTGTGAATTTATATTAACATCTTTCTTAAAATTTCACCACTCCCTTTGCTCGACTTGCTCTTGTATCGTTGCCTCATTACATGATATAGATTTGCAGGACCTGTCATGTAACCCATTTGAAGCTTCCACTTTAAGAGACTTGAGCTAATTTCATTGGTATTAGATTCTTTGTTCAACATTCTTTTCCACCTAGGGAAATAGCGGCAAGCAGAGTAACAACCGTTACATGTACCATCCTCGTATGTTTCTGGTAAATATTCTCGTCATGGGATAGTGGATCACTCATGACATTTCTGCGAGAAATCAATAATCTGGTGATTTTATGAACTTTAAAGGCAGTTATACATGAAGTGTGGATTTGGGCTGTCTGAAAGGCATCGCGGGCAAACATTTGAAATAGTAGGATTACGTTGGAGAGACACGTACGGAAAGTTGACATTTACTGGTTGTTGTGAACAGAGTATACATGAAATATACTGCTGATTGTCATAAACTCTGCAAAAGTATGGGTCTTCTGCTATTTATTCTCTTGAAAACATCTGAACTAAGTAGGAAACAAACTCCTACAGAGCAGGGGCGGACCCACATATAGCTAAGGGGGTTCAACTGAACCCGCTTCATCGAAAAATACTATTGTGTATCTATGTAAATTACAACCAAAGCAGGGTAACTTTATATAAAAATTATATTTGAACACACATGACAAATGATTTGCTTCTGCAAAAGTGGTCAAGCGGGTTCATATATTGGGCGAGGTCCTGTGTTCGATTCCTGGCTAGTGCTTTTATACATACTGTACTTCTTTTTTGTATAGATAGCAACAAGAATGTACAAATGGTAGACTTAGTAAAACTGTTTTGCATCAAATTAAATTAACCATACCTTGGCTTGTTGACTTATTACTCCAATGTCTTATATTTTTTCGTTCTCTCTATTTCACTTTAAAATTTGTTGTCTTTACTTAAACTCAATACAACTTATAGTGAAGTTTATTTTACTTCAAAAGGTAATTTTTGCTTTCTCCTTTCACAAAATTTTCTAAGCCCTTCAAGTATATATGTTGAAATTATTTATTATTTTTTAATTTAATTTAATTTATGTCGAAATTTTCTTAGTTGTTTTATAATTAAATTTTATTATTTAGTGTATAAGCTCTCTTTCTTTAATTATGGTATTAATTTAGTTTAGTTTGTAATTCTTTTCTTATTGCCTTCTTTTATAAATAAAAATTTGTTACTTATAAAACTAAAAAATAATTTATAATCTCAAATCTCTTGGAGTTAATAATTTTATAGATTGGTCAATATTATTTTTTTGTTAAAGTATAGCAAAATTTTAAATTAGCTAAATTTAAATTTGTTAAATTAAAATAAGCAAAAATTTGTTACAACTTAAGATGATTTCATTTTAAGATTACTCTATGAACAAAAAGGATAAAAAATGGCTTCCTGTTACCGCTTATATTAGGAGGGTGTTTGGATTGGCTTTTAAGCTAGTCAAATCAACTTTCAAGCTCTTTTAGCTTTTTTTCCGGTGTTTGGCAAAATCAAAAAGTGCTTAAAATAAGTTAAAAACTGCTTAAAACAAGGCAAAAGTTAGGCAACCCCAACTTATTGCTTTTTGACTTAAAAGTTATTTCTGCTGAAAAATCATTTTTTTAAAGCCAATTCAAACGGGCTCTAGCTATGGTTGTTTCCAACTGAACCCACTTGCATAAAATCCTGGGTCCGCCACTGCTACAGAGTGAGTGCCCAGAGTTTCTTGTTCTAGTATATGTTTCTGCAAGGTAAGTTTGTAAAGGCTCAGATTCTTGATAATACAAAAAATAAAAGCATGAGCTGATGAGCAGAATCAAGACCTCATGTGATTGCCTTTATTTTTTTTAATCTTGGGCTTCATACCATTCTGTTTTCCTTCATGCTGTTAACTGATTCTGCTTGTGAGTTTCACTCTGGAAGTGTGTTCATAACTTTGTTTCTTTCTCATCCCATGTAACTGGGAATGAACTCTTCCATGCTACTTTTCACCTAAGTCTGCCTTTTGTATTAGATATAAGATTATCTTCTATCATTAAATATGAAGTTGGGTGGTTACAGTTGGCATGCTTATTGCATTCTCTCATGGCGTATACATTAACTGTTTTATTCTCTACTAGCACTGATATCAATGAAATTTATGATAAAGCGTGATGGATTATTTTGCTGACTATTCTTCCACAACCTAGTCCAACGCAGGCTTGAAAATTCAAGATTTAACTCAGCCTCATGGAAAACTACTTGAGTTTCATGAGCAGTTAGTTCTCTTTCAGTTTGTCCACCGTAGGAGACTATGGTTTCAAATACACTCAGCTTGAAGCCGTGTCTAATTTTGTATCCTAAATATTGGCAGGCACGGAAAGAATGCTCTTTTTCTTTCTTTTGGGGGTTCTCTTTTTGAGCGTGTACCTTGCTGAACTAGAGTTATTTCTTTGGCAACTTTGTTATGTCATCAGGTTGTTTTTCTTCTAATTCATGATTGTATTCGTGTATTTTACTCACATTATCAGGTTTAGCTTGGGCTATTTGTGAGCACATTGTTGAAGAAATTAAGGCACCAACATTGTTTGCCACTCACTTTCATGAGCTGACTGCATTGGCCAACAAGAATGGTAACAATGGACATAAGCAAAATGCTGGGATAGCAAATTTTCATGTTTTTGCACACATTGACCCTTTTAATCGCAAGCTAACTATGCTTTACAAGGTACGTTTATCTTCATCTTTCTGTCTACTTCTGACTCATTCTCATCATTTGCGAATAATGTTAAAGTGATATGAGTAGTTTCTTTCCTGATACACTTATCACAAAAAAAGTTTATTTCTTGATACTCTTGTTACTACCAGGTTTGAGAAAGTTTGAGCTTTATTTAGGTTGATATCTGATGTTAGTAGGGATGATTATTTCTTTCACTACTGGTAGAAATAGGAGACTTTCTATTAGGTAGCAGTATAAAAGCTTGTAGTTTGGCAGCATCTCCCTGTACGTCTATAATGAAGTATCGTGAATCAACACTAACACAAGCTATGTTAATAATAGTAAGTGTAGATGTTACTTTTCAGAAAAAAAGATAAGAAGAGTACTTGTGACATTATAAAAATGTAACTTACTATGCTGCTTAATAGCCCATCAAATGCAGCTTATGGTGACCAGTGAGGACTTTCTGGTAAGTGCTTAGTTAGTAAATCTCCGTATCCTATTTATATCAGAATACGTTTTATGAAGTTGGCTTCACATGCAATCTTAGTTTTTATATGGTGTGCGCACAAACAGTCAAAAAGTCACTGGAATTAGTTGATTTCACAAGTTTTAATTTGTGACCTGTTGTAAATAGGAGTATATGTGATTTTCAGTTCCAGATTTACCTGCTGATACTCACTTCTTTGCTGATTGTTTAAAGTCCATGCTACAAGGATATACACCATTCTGTGATGTGCCAATACATGTGATAGTTTCCACTCTACCTCTCTTGAGTCCTGAGGAAGTTTGTTAAAAATTAATGAAGGCACTAGGATTGGAATCACAGTGATTTTGGCTTTTGGGTGCTATAAGCCATAAGACGAGTTGAATATATTGTTAAAAATTAATAAAGGCAGTAGCATTGAAATCACAGCGACTTTTGCTTTTGGGTGCTATAAACCATAAGGCATGTTGAATATGCTTTAGTGGAAAGGAGAATTTAAAAGCCTAATCACATCATGGACTAAAAAACTATTTTCTTATGCTTTTTAGAACGTGAGCAGTTGCAGCATCTGACCGTTGTACTCTTCCAGGTTCAACCAGGTGCTTGTGATCAGAGTTTTGGTATTCATGTTGCTGAATTTGCAAATTTTCCACCGAGTGTTGTGGCCCTGGCTAGAGAAAAGGCATCTGAGTTGGAGGATTTCTCTCCTATTGCCATAATTCCAAATGACATTAAAGAGGTGTTTTCATTTGGTTACCTTCCTTTTCTCATCGCAAAAATCAATAAAAATTCTGCTTCCTTATCTTTTTGAAAGGGTTATGTCTACATCCTGTCTAGATGCATTCTTACATCTCACCCGTTTTAAAATCATATGCAAGACTTCTAAATGGGTTTAGCTATAGGTGATAATGTAAAAATGCTCGCTCTGCTATTTAAGCACATAATCTTAATATTTTCAAAACCCATTTGATGCTTTTGAATGGTCAATGGTGTCATATGATAAAACTTCTTATGACATCTTGATCTGCTCTATTGCTTATATGCTTTTTTGGGTGTGTATTAAAATGCACTTAAGCACTTGCATGCTCTACTGTCTTCATGGAAAACCTTATAGTAGCAAAGTCACATGTAATCGGAGCAGCCGGTGGTACTTGGTTTTCCCCTTGTCTCAACCCCACTTGCCTTTGTTTTTGTTATTCTTCCAGGCAGCTTCAAAACGGAAGAGAGAATTTGACCCTCATGACGTGTCTAGAGGTACTGCCAGAGCTCGGCAATTCTTACAGGATTTCTCTCAGTTGCCACTGGATAAGATGGATCCAAGCGAGGTCAGGCAACAGTTGAGCAAAATGAAAACCGACCTGGAGAGGGATGCAGTTGACTCTCACTGGCTTCAGCAATTCTTTTAGTTCTTCAGATTAGAACTATATCTTCTATTCTGTGAAGCTTGGGGGAATGATAGTGATGGGTTTTGTGGATATAACTTAGCCTAAGTGTAAAGTTTCGTTTAAATCCTTACCCCAAACATGATTCTCTGTAATCAGGGGACTTTTGTATGCATCCTGTGTTAAATAGTAAACGTTATCTTATGGTCAGCTAACATTGGTAGTAGTCTATTGAATTATTCCTTCACAACGACTAAACAACCTTCCCTTCTCTTAAAACACCCTAAACTATAGACAAAAGCTCCCCGTTTTGTACTTAATTTGTTAAAATGAATTGTGTATTTGTACTATTGAATTAGGGAGAATTTAAGAAAAACAATGAATATTATAGTTTATACCTCTAACAATTAACGAAATTCTTTTGGATTTACATACTTGATACTAATTAAAAGACATAATAAAAACCTAATATATAAGTTTAACTACTTTGAAGCAGATACTAATAGCCCGTTTGGCCAAGCTACAGAAATCAGTTTATTTTGAGAAGTGTTTTTTTTCAAAAGTGCTTTTCTCAAAAGTACTTTTGGTGAGAAGCAGTTTGTGTTTGACTAATTAGTTCGAGTTTGTAGGACTGTCGTGTTTGTAGGACTAACTTCTCCCACTCTGGGAGAAGCAGAGTGAGAGAAGTTGTAGGACTAATTAGTTAGGGTTTGTAGGGGATCTCTCCGGTGATGTTTGGTCCACTATTGTTCAATAGGGTGTTGATTTTGTCACACGTGTCCAACATACTAATCAATGGACAAGATCTCTTTAGCTAAAAGCTAGTTTATTAAACTAGCTTTTAGCTAAAGAGATCTTGTCCATTGATTAGTATGTTGGACACGTGTGACAAAATCAACACCCTATTGAACAATAGTGGACCAAACATTACCGGAGGGGATCCCAACCCTTTGTACATTGAAACCTATTCATATATTGCACTCTTTCTTCTCTCTAATAATACCTATCTTATCCTTTTCGTATATTTTAGCTCTCTTTTCCTTTGCTTTAACTGGGGAAAGAGGGGTTACTATAATAAGTGAATCTACAAATGCATGTCAGCCTCAACTTCAGTAGTGTGGAGCAGAGAGGAAGAAAGAGCCTTTGAGAATGCCATTGCCATGAAGCAATACTCTATTGAAGATTCCAAAGAGCAATGGCAAAAGATTGCTTTGATTGTCCCAAATAAAACCATTGAAGTTACCAATTGCTAGTTGATGATGTTACTGCCATTGACGCTGGCTATGTTCCAATCCCAAACTACACTTCCTCCTCAACCAAGGAAAACAGACATGGCTATTCCCAAGTCTATTGTGGTTATGGAAATGAGGTTGCAGGCACAACCCATTACTCAAATGGCCAAGGAGAGAGGAGGTTAAGAGAGACGAAAAGGGATGCCATGGACTGAAGAAGAACATAGGTATATAATACGTTTACTCCCTCCGTGCCAATTTATGTAAACATGTTCGGATTTCGAGATTTAAATGAATTATTCTCCTTATTTTTTTTCATATGCCTTTTAAATATTTTAAATTATTAATTATTGTGACTTATACTATCTTTTACCTAGTTTTCAAATATATAAATTTTATTTTGAAAAATTGTCCAAATACATGGTCAAAATTAAGTCGTTTGAATCTCATAAAGCGAAAAGTGTCACATAAATCGAAACAGAGGAACACTTAATTCCAAGCCAATAGTAACTTTACTTGTTTTGGTTGAACTTGAGCTCATCAAACCGCCTTTGTCGGATAAAACCTATATACACTTGATTGTTTAAAAAAGAATTATTTGTACTGAACGAATTAAACTGCCCTAATTTTTTCTTTTAGGTTATTCTTGCTTGGTTTAGACAGGTTTGGAAAAGGAGATTGGAGAAGCATTTCGAGGAAGTTTGTGATATCCAGGACGCCATCCCAAGTGGCTAGCCATGCCTAAAAGTACTTTAGCCGTTTGAACTCGATCATTAGTGGTAGAAGAAGATCCAGCATTCATGACATTACAATTGTAAACAGAGGAGATGTTGTGTCAACTCATCAAGCCCCTATCACAGGCCAACAGCCCAATCCCCACCATTCCAATATGCATGCCTTGGGCTTGTATGATGGGCCAGTGGGAGAAATTTAAAAATAGTCAGATTTACAACTGGTCATTCAAAAATAACCACAGTTTCAGAAGTAATCGAAATTTAGCCACTTTTCATGTAAAGATAAATCTGAGCGAAAACACTGTTCAAAACCCGAAAAATACGCCCGTATATTATACTGAAGTTCCAGCATAAGTATGCTTGAACTCCAGCATATTATACGGGAGTTCCAGGATAACTATGCTGGAACAACATAGTACACTAGAACTTCAGCATAATATACAGGAGTTCCAGCAAGTATAAATGTTCAGTATAATATACTGGAGTTTGGAGCACCGATGCTCCAGTCTCCCGTATATTATACAGGAGACAGCAAAGTATACCGGTCCAGCATAATATGCTGGAGTTCGTACACAAATACACCGAACTCCCGTATATTATACGGGACCGGTCTCTGTTGCAGCAAAATAGTGACTATTTTTCATTGACTTCGTAAACGATGACTATTTTTGATTGACCAGTTCGAAAATTGGCTATACCGTGCTATTTTGACTGGGCCAGTGAGTCTTGAAGAAATGGTAAGATATGGGTAACAGTTCTTGCAAGTATCTCTATTGCTGGGGGACTGGGAGACCGATAAACGTAGAACAAGAAGAGGAGAAGGAAATCCTATGGGCCGAATTTTTACTAAGAGGGTCAAAAAATATATAGATGCACCGAAAAAGTTTAGGGGAGTCAAACGTATAGTAAATATACATAAAACAGAAAAATTTATCTAGCAATACAATATAAATTTCTGACGAAGGGGCGTCGATTGGTTGAATGTGGCTCCGCCACCTGTTCTAACTACTAGAGGAAAAACATGGAAAGAAAGAGAGACCCTTTCTTGGACTCTAAGAAATACCATTTGTGAATAAAAAATATTGTATGCTCCTAATTTTCTCTTCTCTTTGCTTACCTTCGGGAATTTCTTTCTCCACCTCCTATTACTTATATCCAATCCCACCTTTGCTTCTTCCATAATTCATTACTGAATATGTGCAGCTTCTGTGATTTTAATTTACATGGTTTCAGCGGATCACCTTGAAGCAGAATTTATGAGCAACTTTAATCTGCTTGAGAGAGCACCAAGCGCCAAGACAAAAAAGGTGCTCCTTTATTTGATTAATTTGAAGAGTCATTTCATTTTCACTTATATTGATACATTATAAGTAGGAGTATCAGATAAAAGTTACTCGTAAATTAATTTGAGCTAAAAATCAATCAAATTGTAGATGAGCTGAATTCAACAGATGTGCGGGTCAATGACCAGCCCAACCTTGGACGATTTAGACGGGTCAAATGGGTTTGGGCTTAAATTGCCGCCTCTAACTATATGCATTCCGTCGGTTATGTATTATGCATAAGCCTTCCAATAAATAGAAAGACTTCTTTGCATATAACTTTATTTTCACCAAAGTCATAACACTTTATTTTCTCACACAAAAATTATATAACTAAGACTTTTTTTAACCAAAGTCATATAGTTTTGTTTTCTCACACAAATATCATAACACTTTCACTAACTCACACAAAAATTATATTGGTCGAAAAATAAAATTTTCGGTAGTATTTTCTTATTTCACGTTTTTTTATTTTTATTTTTAGTCTAATAAATAATTACCCAATTAAAATAGGAGAAATATGAGTATATTTTTAGCCGTTCCCAAAAATAATAGCCGATAAAATATTTATATATATTGGCTAGAAAATACAATTAGTTTCAGCCAGCTGGTTAATTTTATATTTTTTCCCTTAAAATAGGAATGACCTAACCCAACATGACCCAATACCTATAAACGTAAGTTAAAATAATACTAAAGGTGAAGTCTCCCCCCATAAAAAACTTAGTTCGGAATGCATGAGATTTTGACAAAAAACAAAGAAATAAAAAGTATAATTAGAGAACACTTGAAATAAAATGCTATCAATTTAAAATCTTGAAAAGAAAAATAAAAGATAGAAGTATCATGTTTAAAAGATTGAAATATATATATATATATATATATTGGGGTCGGGTGGGCGAGGTCGGGTTGGGTCATCCCTATTTTAATTGGTTTATTATTTATTAGATTGAAAATAAAAAATTGCAAAATTGCAAAATAAGAAAATACTACGGAAAATTTATGTTCTTCAATCATTATTATTTTTGTGTGAGTTAATAAAAGTTTTATAATTTTTGTATGAGATATTATATGACTTTGGTGAAAAATAGTTATTTTTATATATTTTTTGTGTGAGAAAACAAAGTTATATGATTTTGATAAAAAAAATCATAGTTAGATGACCATTTGTGAAATTTATCCATCAATACTGCCACTTCAATCTGGGCAACAAGCCGTTAGACAATCTGAAAGTACACCGGTGGTGTTAATTTTTTTATTTATTAACAGATGCAACTGTAAGAAAAACAAATTTATTGAAAGTTTGTCTCCCAAAATTTTATTATCTCATAGGCTAATAACCACTTAAATAAAATAGTAGATTATCATCCTACAACTAATTAATCTAGTAAATCGGAGTATTAGACATCTTTAAAACTAAATAATTGATTATTCTAGTAAATTAAAATAGTAGACTCCTCTTTTAACTAAACAACTAATTATTCTAGCAAATCTGCAACGACAAAAGATGCAACATTCAGCAACTAGATTAAACATGCTAGTTTGATAGAGTTTCGTCTTAGATTGCTAGTGATTAATGTTGTGTTTACACTATTCTTCCGTTTTCCATAGCATAGAGCCTTATTTACTTGTTATTGTTATTGTTTTTCATCTATTTTCTAGTTTTTACGTCGCTGCAATTATTTCTATATTTTCTGTTGATGGTACTGATGTATTTATCTTTTTTCGTTTTCTTGAGCCGAGGGTCTTTCAAATAACCTCTCTACTCCCTCGAGGTAGGGGTAAGATCTGCGTACTACTCACCATCCTCCCAGACCTCACCTGTAGAATTTTACTGGATTGTTGTTGTTTTAAGTCAAAAGAATAGTTACAAACTCAATGTGATCTCAACCTATTACAGTTAATAAAGAGTATAATTACAAATGAATGTGGATTGCGATGTTATGTAATATTTGTTTATCTTGCAAGAGTATCTCATGACCGTAGTATTGGCACGTCGTATCGCTTTCTGTTGATAGTAGATTTCTGTTGTTTTCTTTCATTGTTGATCATCTTACTATCTTGTTGTTTTTATTTTGCTTTTTGGTACAGTCACTTCTTGTATATATTTTCATTAATGTGATGCTTATGCTTTCCGAGGTGAGGGTCTATTGTAAACAGCCAATGGCGAAGCTAGAAATTTCCTCAAGGCAAATTTGAAAGAAGTGAAAAAATTTCCAATAAAGGGTGTTCAATATGTATTATATACATCTAAAACGTAATATTTACCTATATATACAGTGTAATTTTTCGACGAAGGGTGATCAACTGACTACTCTTGTGATCATGTGGCTTCGCCACTGAAAACATCGTCTCTATCCTCACAAGGTAAGGGTAAAGTCTGCATATATACTATCCCCTAGATCTCACGATGTGGGATAATATTGGGTATGGATATGTTGTTGTTATTGTAGTTGTATCTCATAGTGCTTATTTAATTTAATGGCGACTTCTTAAATTTCACTCTTATTTCTCTTTGTTTTTTTGTTTGCCACAAAATTTAAGTATACGGAATTATACTGTGATACTTGGAAACGAACCCTTTTCTCTGACTGAGGGAAGAGGACATGCATTGGACTGGTAGTTGCATAATGGATAAAAATAATAAACACAAAAGAAAGTCACTTTACATGTAATTAAGTCTCTTTGTAGCACTTGGAACCATTAGTATAAGTGCAGTGTGCAGATCAATTCTACTTCTTTATTGATCTAATAACATAACCATAAATAGGCTAGTAATTAATTGGCAACTAACAGAGAAATATATCTAACTCAAGTCTTACAAGTTTGAATTGTGGGTGAAATGTGTTTCTTTCTTTCTCCATTTTGGCTATAGAACGACGTCCAATAATCAGTTATTCTATCAATAAATGTTGATGGTTCAACAAGAAATTGGTCCTACTTATACACACAACTCATTTAAAACTACTGAGTAAAGTCAGCGGTAAAAAAGGAAGATCCTTTCTTCAACTCAAGAAATACGCTTTAATGAAAAGATTGTTGACTAGAAAGTAGAGCTCGTGTTTTGTTATACCAGAGTGAGTTGTGAGCCTTTAATCAATTTTACCTTGTTGAAAATTAGGTAGGAACTTGATAGATTTATCCTGGAATGAAAGTTTAAAATCACCTCAAGTAAGCCATTTAATCTACTACCGCTAAAATAATAGTACTAGTACAAGAAAGAAATTAAGGGAGTAATAATCGACGACGGAATAGAACGGAAAAAAGACTTGCTTCAATCAAAGAAAGAAAATTTATATTCTCAGTGAGAAATTTCTCACATTGATTCCGTTGTCAAATCACTGATTCAATCAAAGAATGAATAAAGAAGAGACCAGAATATTAATCTTTCCTCAATATAGAAGATGATTTCAGATAGAATTATTTGGTGTAATTTGACCAGCTTTAAGAGATTACTCATCATGTTAATTATAATGTAGTGAAAACATGTACTAGTCAAGTGAGAGCAGTCTACGAACAGTATCTATTAGCTCGGAGTCGGTTTATACCAGAGTAATATTTTAACACCAATATTCATAGAAGATATTATGCTTTTACTGAGCCGAGGTCTATGCTATGTAAATGTTCAAGTGTATACTGTCCTTTCTAGACTTCACTTTTGAAATTACACCGGATTTGTTGTTATGGTTGTATGCACAAATAAGTGATTTGGTGCGCACCTTTTCTAATTCCACGGCATACATACGTGCCACCTCGTACTAGTAACATGTACCACAATCCCTTGGATTAAAAGGTTTGGACAGATAGAAGATGAGTGATTACTGGAGAATTACTGATGTGATACACAAGGGAAAAAACCATACTCCATTTAACTGTAGCAATAACTTAACTCCTCTTCTTATTGGGCACACTGCACAGTCCACAGAGCAGGTATCAAGTATGTATGAAAGCTTTTTTCCCCCGCCATTAATGCATTTTTTCTATTCAAACCTTATACAAGGTTGACGTGAGCTCACTCTTTTCTCACCTTTCGGCTTTTCCTTCTCCTCCTCCTACTTATATCCAGTCCCAGCTCTCAATTCTTGCATTCCATTCTTCATTTTCTTTGTACGAAAGAATAATGGCACACTTCTTCTCCTTCTTTATTCTCATCATCTCTGTTTCTTTCCTTCCTCTTACTCTCTCTCGCTCACTCTCTTCACCTCCACTTGAGTCCCAAATCCTCGACGTTGCAAAATCCATTCAAAATACTCTTCATGTTCTCTCTCCCAAGTTCCAATCTTTCCAACAAGAAGCAATAAAACAACCCCTTTTTAATTCTTCTTCTTCTTCAGCATTCTCTGTATCAATCTATCCTCGTTCCTCTCTTACAAAAACCCAACATAAAAACTACACATATCTCACTCTCTCCCGACTCGCTCGTGACTCTGTCCGAGTTTCCTCACTCACTACTATGCTTCAACTTGAAGAAATCCAGACCCCTGTTACTTCTGGAGTAAGTGAAGGCAGTGGCGAGTATTTTGCTCGGGTCGGATTCGGACAACCGGTGAAGGAATTCTACATGGCTATTGACACTGGTAGTGACATTACATGGCTTCAATGTGAGCCCTGCTCCGAATGTTACCAGCAAACCGATTCAATTTTCAACCCGTCCGATTCTTCCACCTACACTAGCCTCTCTTGCGACTCACCCGAGTGCTCCGCTCTTCATGTCTCGGAATGTTCTTCAACCGGCACGTGTCTCTATCAAGTCTCCTATGGCGACGGGTCTTTCACCGTTGGAGAGTTCGCCACTGAAACGGTGTCGTTAGGAAACTCTGGAGGATCGTCATTCTCTAATGTTGCTATAGGCTGTGGCCATGATAACGAAGGCCTATTTATTGGCTCAGCTGGGCTGGTAGCTCTCGGCGGCGGCTCATTATCTCTTCCGTCTCAAATTAAAGCGACGTCGTTTTCCTACTGCCTTGTAGATCGTGATTCTGATTCATCATCGACATTGGAGTTCAATTCCGCTGGACCTAGCGACTCGATAATTGCACCGTTGCTACAAAACTCGAAGAGGAGTACTTTTTTCTACGTCGGTCTCGAAGGAATCAGCGTCGCCGGCGAGATGTTATCGGTTCCGGCGAACATATTTCAGGTGGACGATAACGGTAACGGAGGGATTATTGTGGACTCCGGTACAGCGGTTACGCGGTTTGAGAGGAGCGTTTACAATGCTTTACGTGACACATTTGTGAAATATGCTCAGGATTTGCCGGCCGACGGGGATTTTATGTTGTTTGATACTTGCTATGATTTGTCGGGTATGAAAACGGCGAGTGTTCCGACGGTGGCGTTTCATTTTTCCGGTGGTAAGACGCTGTCGTTGCACCCCAAGAACACGCTGGTTCCGGTGAACTCGTCGGGGAAGTTCTGCTTAGCTTTTGCTCCGGAGGATGGAAAATTCTCGATTATTGGAAACATACAGCAGCAAGGGACACGTGTCAGTTATGACCTGGCTAACAACCTTGTTGGATTTAGTCCTGATAAATGTTAGCGGAGTAGTACTTCGAAGTACAACTGTGGAGATAAAATTTATAGCGGCAGTAGCTGCATTAAATTAAGAAAGAAAAATGAAAAAAGAGAAAAAGAAAGGAGCCAATAAAAAGTTGGTTTGCAATAATTAATTTGTTTATGGACGATGGTTGCTTTTCCTTTCTTTTACTCCTACTTGTTTATCACAATGGTTTTTGTGGACTATTTAAGAATTGAAATTTGAAGTTATTTACACTGATATTAAAAAAAAAATTCACACTATCATGGTAATTTCACCAATTTAGTAGATTATGATTCAGATATCAAAGTGGTTGTCAGAATCTGAGTATAAAAGAGGTTTTAAAGCTCCAAAAGTTTAAAAACAGGTTTTAAGGTTTAACACTGTTGAAAAAACAAAATTGTTCCAAAAGAAAGAAAAAAAAGAAACGCCGTTGCCGGGGATCGAACCCGGGTCACCCGCGTGACAGGCGGGAATACTCACCACTATACTACAACGACTTGGTTGCTTAAGAAATTCATTGCTAATTATTTATCTTTAAATATATTTGATATATTCTCTTTGTTTGCTGGTAATTTGCGAACGTCGTCTACCAATAAAAGATTGAGAGAGGGAATGCACGGCACTATACAACCCAAAAGGAGGGAAAACTGTAATTTTTGCCAAGGCTTGGACTAGTCGTTGCTTTTGATTGTTTAGATGCTTTAATAAAGATTTTTAAATTAAACTACAACTTATTTACATAATCAACATCAATTCAAAAAACAAAGTAATATTTTGTATATGAATATCACAACTTCGATGATCTTGACAGACGACTTTTAATCATATGAATATTAAATTTATAAGTCCAACCCAGCAATTTAACATTTATTTGAATTAAGCATCAGGGTTGTTATATTTGACTACTTTCTCACAAAATTTACTTGACATTTTAGATAAGAAAGTATCCACTAAAAAGGAGTGCCTAAATGCAAGAAATTTCAATGGAAAATCGCTTTGCTTGATATTTAAGCATTTATTCTTTTAACTGACTTAACTATAATGTGAAACGCATAGTGGAAACGAAGATGACCATTCAATATCATTGATTGAAATAATAACAAGATAAATAAACAGAAAAATGAAATGTAAAATAAAGGAAAAGACTTCTTGAAATTCAAAGAAAATGCCCATATCTCAAACTTCCTTCCGCATTGCCCTTTCAATTGGACAACGCGTATTACAGGGATAAGCACCAGTGGAGCAAAAGGCGAAATAGTAATAACAAGGACAGAAGTCCTGTGGAAACTAGTTTTATCATTTTCTTTGAACTGTCAAAACTTGAATGAAACAATTAATGCATCTATTTTTTCAAACTATTTACATCGTATGAGAGTGTTTGTTTGTTCCTTTAGGTTGGCAAGAACTTGAAAGGATGCAAAAACTTGATACCGCGAAGGAGGCTATAGTGCATGAGGAAGATTGAGATTCTTATCTCCAATAAGAGATTCTTCACCATGGCTGCAGAAAATTCACTCAAGCTAGTAAACAAACTATCTCATGGATTGCGAATTATATCACAGATACAACGTGAATTCACTTGTCTGGGCGGGGGGTTATGATAGGTGTACCTTAGGTAGCTCAAAGCTGACATCCTGTATAGGCAGGTGAATACTAAAATATGCAACCCAATGGTATAAAAGAATACAAACGTCCGAGCGTACCTGCACCAACAAGTTTTTCTTCAGTTTATGACATGAAATACCGGAGTTGACCGAAGACAATATTACATTTATAGTATAGAAAATACTGGGAAAGACAGTGAGCTACTCTTACTCAGTTTTAAGCCCCGGTGAAAGGAAAAGAAGTTCAAGATAGCTAATCAACACAGTAGTTGATAGTCTAACGTAACTCTTGGTTACAAGTGTTATATCTTAAAGATATATTTTTCATATTATTCCTGCTGAACCTGAGAACCACCTCATTTTTTAATGTTGTTATGAGGCTTCTGGCTTCAAATGTTTAACCCCTTGCTAGATAAAACCAGCACTACAATGGCGTATGTTTTTCCACAGCATCATCGTAACTTATTGAAACTATTGCTTTATAACACGTGAAATGCACGGGCTGTCAAAAATACGGCCACAGCCCATGAATCTATGCTGAGATACAATAAACCACAAGAAAATTGGCAGTCTTCATCTCCAGGCTTAGCTCTACACTATTTTATGTTGCTCTTTGGTTAATCAGATACGGAAGTATGATACACAGAGACACAATTTCCAAGTTGCTTTTTCTTTTTTTGATAACCACGGTGTCCGGGTGAGCGAGCGTGCCCCTCAACTAATTCCAACGGGTACGTGTTACCTCCCACCAGCACAGGTACTGGATAACAATTTTAAGGTGTTAAATGCTTATGACATTTGAATCTAGAAACAAAACGGTTGCTAATACATCTGTCTGATATCATAGCTTCAAGCAGCAACTTCTCTTCCTTTTTCCTCGTAATAGCTGTTATGTAACAGTCTCTGCTAAGTTTTCTACATACGATGTATGGCCCCATGTGAAAAAGGACAGAAGAAGGCCTTGCATATAAGTCAGCACAGAAGTCAGAGAAAATTCCTCTAGTCCTCACTCAAACAAGCTACGGATAGAATAAGTTGACAACCAGCATTATTGCTAGAGGTAACAAAGATGTCCAGACAAAGCATTGCATCAGTGAGATTTGACTTCAGTTATAATGCAATAGAAGTAAAATAATCCTGACCTTAAGAGGTAAAAATGTCAAGCTAAAAAAGGAAAACAGGATAAATGAAGCTTACTTGTTACCAAGAAGAAAGCGGCCACTACTGAGAGTAATCTTGTCTCTCAAACCTAATTCCTTGTATCTTTGATCTCTTTCCTATAATAGACAAAAGAAAATAGATTTGGTAAATGAGGATCCAAGACATCTAATAATAAGAGTAGACGAGGGAAGGAACGTGTACAGATTCAGCAATCAAATCAAAGGGAATACAGAAAACAATAGAGGAAAGACAGCATGATCCTGATAAAAAAAATACAGGGAAAGCACAAAAGAGACAAAAACATATTGAACAATTCAGACAGAAGTTAGATGTCTTTACACAATTTTATGCAATAAAAAGCATGCATAGCATTTCCTCTTAGCACATTTAATGAGTCTGAAATAGAAATTTTGGAGGCCTCAATAGCCTGCCAGAACCAAGGAGGAGCATATGTCTAAATGTATGAAACTACCTAATCACACTGTCAATGGAAATTATTTAGAAGAGATTCAATTAAGGATGTGCTAGAAGAGCTGGAACCTTCTTTGAGAATGCCGCAAATGGATTTATGTCTTCCTCATACATCTTCTTGTATTTGGATTCCACATCAGAGCTGGAACCACTTTCTAAATCTTCTACATACTGAGAACCAAAAGGTGGCGTTAGAGAACAAAATATGTGAATAGACTTATAATCAACACCAGAACCTGATAGGTCACCTTTTTTGATCCTCTTGAAATCACTCTCTCAGAATTATAATCCTGAACATAACGAATCTTTTCATAAAGTTTGACATTATCTGCTTTCGTTTTATCAAGTTCTGAGGTCAGTGCCCCTATCTTCTCCTTCAGCTGTCTAATTTCCTAGTGAGATCAACAATTCAAGAACCAAGGACTCTTGTCAATAGAAAAGATGTGCAAAATGAGGTTAAATGGAAGGTAGGTAGAAAAATAGAAAGAGAAATTGTTTCAAACAAAACCTCTTCAGTCTCCCGCAAACGAGCACGGAAACGGTCTCTTTGGTTGCAGATCACCTTAAGCATTGAGCTCTGATCCTGGTCTGAGGAAACGTGCCTCTGCTTTGCATTCTGTTTCAAAGGACGTCTCTCGTTAGAAAATTCACATTTCAAAAAAATCACAGGAGATATGCAAATGTTTCTGGAACTTCAAATATACAAATTGGAAGCAGTAAAAATTCAATTTGAAATGCAATGATTACTGGTCCAGCACCAAGACAGAGCAGGTGAGTACAAAGCTACGAATTCAAACTACGCTATAAGTAAACTTAAAAAATCTATCTTTTACACCAAAAAGCTAGTATATTCAAACACTTACATTTCACTCTAAATTTTCTGTATCCGATATTCTTTTCCAACCTATTTTATATGTTAAGACACCATTTATCTTTTATAATTCAACTCCAATTTGTGGGAGTTTACTGGGTCTGTTCTGTTCTCCCCAGACTCCACTTGATTTTACTGGGTTTGATGTTGTTGAATTCAACTCCAATTTCATCACCTTTAGAGCAGTTTCTCCATTACTTCCACAGGTAGGGGGACTTCTTGGATGATGAATAGTTATTTTTTATTTTTAAATTAAGTTAGCAGTTTACTCATAAAATAATTTCATACCAAGGGGGTAATACATTTTTTCCCACCACTTTCTCAACAAGTTCAAAAATCTTCTGTATGAGTTACGTTACTGTCTACTCTAAAGGCACAGAATTCAGACATTTTCTTTTCAGAATGCAAGCAGCTGTTTCTTCATTTTCAAAAAATATTTTGTTCCTCCCACTCCATACTGTCCAACCAGTGCACAGAAGAACATTTATGCTACAAGGCAATAGGCATAGCCAAGCGCAATCCTATCAGGTTCAGGTACACAGTCCATAACTTAAAAGCCATGTCACAATGACCTATCAAAAAGGAAAAGCCATGTCACAGTGTAGAATGAGGTGATTTATTGTTTCTTCCTTCTCATTGCAAAAGAAGCAAATTTTCATCATTTTATTTATTTTTTCTCACAAATTCATGCCTGTTCTGAACTCTTTCCTGGGGAGAGACTCTCCCAAGGCTGCTGTCCAGCCAAAGAAAGGAACTTGCTGAGGTAGCAAGTGTTTCATATGGCTTCCTTCAGAAACTGATGAATCTTGCTTCTGCATTGTCAATATTGAGTAATGAGATTTCACTGTGTAATAGTCTTCTCTAACAACCTCTCCAGATTATGAAGCCTGGGATTCGCTCAACACTTCATGACCGTTGGACAATAGGAAGTTAACACAATTAAACTCCTAATCATTAAAATCCAAGATGATTTTCAAAGTTTACTGGATGTTATGCAATCTTTTGGAACAAAATCATGTGTTAGCCCCACAAAAAGCAGGATCAATGCCCAACTCCATAA